GTGTTGTGTTGTGTTGTGTTGTGTTGTGTTGTGTTGTGTTGTGTTGTGTTGTGTTGTGTTGTGTTGTGTTGTGTTGTGTTGTGTTGTGTTGTGTTAAGGAAAGGAAAGGAAAGGAAAGGAAAGGAAAGGAAAGGAAAGGAAAGGAAAGGAAAGGAAAGGAAAGGAAAGGAAAGGAAAGGAAAGGAAAGGAAAGGACAAGGGTGTCACCAGGAATAAGAGGTATTACTAGTAGTAGTAGTACTATTGCTGAGGATGCTGCTTATTTAATGACTACTAGTAATACTACTGTGATCAAGATGTCAAGGAAATATTTGTAGATGCTGCAATCATGTTGCTGTATCTACTAGGGAATATTGAAATAGCTTCAACCACCAGCAGATGATGTAGGAATATGTTTTAATTAATTTTAACATTTGTGTTTAGTGAAYAAGAAGGAGTACAAACTAGTAGCAAGCAAGAAAAAATATTGTTTTGTTCATTTTGGGGGTGGAAATATTTGGCAACATACAACAGGAAAAGTTGACTCTTCTACACTGCTTATTGTCTTACAGGGGGGTACAGGAAGGTTAAGAAGTTATTTGTAGAAGAGTACATCTGCAGAGAATGATAAGATTACACTCATCTCTTTTAGTAGTAGTACTAGTACTGGTGGTGCTAGTAGTATGTAAGAGAGTTGTTTCAGAGGGACAGGGAAAATATTTCTCACTATGATGTTTTGGCAAGGTTGAAGCAGATTTTGCTCCTTTTGACTTTTTCTTGTTTTTGTTGTTGGTGTTGTGGTTGTTGTTGTTGGTGGTGGTGGTGGTGCTCATGTTATCATGAACACATCCACCACCAAGCCTAGTAACATTTATGAAATGTTGGTGCTCAGCAGGACAAGAAACAACTAAAGGTACTGTTTGTATGCCAACACCATACTAGTGTAGGAGTACTAGTACTAGTAGTAGTATTAGCTATATTTTGGTGCTACTAGTTGTCTGCACCTAGGAAATCATTGTCAGCAAAGAGGAAGGGTAAATTAAGCAACCACCACCAACTACTACTATTAGTAGATTACCAAAAGTGAAAAGTGTAATATGATTTCTTTGTTTGGCAAAATACAGTAGCTTTCCATAAATAACAGCAGCAGAATGAGAGGTAGCAAAGATGCCTTTTCTTACTATTTCTGCATACTGCATGCATTTTTAATGCTCATCTGTTCACATGATGGGTTATAATCTACTGCAAGGAGCTACTACTAGTATTACTATTAAATGTTAACTGTTATAGATGACTAGTAGTAGCTCCCTAATGCATATGATAAAATTTTATCAACTAGTCAATTAAATTTTATTAACCATTTATCTCTTTCATAGTATTGGATCTGTTCACAACAGCTTCTTGTCACTGCCATGTACAATACTAGTAGTAGCCAATTAGGTAGGAAAAAAGATGTAACTGGAACAGCTGGAAGGTAGTAGCATTGAGAAAGAATTACATTTGTCACTTTTTCTGGTCCACATTGCAAAAAATTGGAGTAGTACATCCAACAAAAAGTATTTCTACTACATGTGACATTGCAGTTCCATCCAAATACAATCTTTTGACCTTGTTGGGTAGGTGAGGAAGAGGTTGAGGAATGTGTGATTGCAGTTGGCAAAAAATACAAGCTTCTTGGGAGCAGTAGTACTGCTGATAGTCTAAATAGTAACCTTCAGAAGTTGGACTACTTGCCTAAATGAGACCAGTACTACTAGTAGTAGAACMCATGGGCATTCGGYATGTACATCAGAAGTGTCTAGTGTTTGCAGCGGTTGGCTAGATTCAAATATGCRCGTACACCTTTCTTGAGCATGCCATTGCAGCACAATTGCATAATATGCATGCACCAAAAAWCTCAACAACTTTACGTGACTTCCATTGTGGAGTTTATGAAGGCCAAATTCTTCTGGAATGACCCGCGCATTCATCTCCTAGAGAACAGTTATGCTGCACATCTTAGACTCAATTTAAAAGGAGGTATATTATTCTATGCATATTATTATCGATTATATTATGACTACAAAAACGAAAAATTAAGAAGCAAATCAAAGCAATAGCAAATCGTATGCAACTTTGGCGACTTCGCTACAATACAACACATTCGAATGCAGTTCTGGAGTGCACTATAGTTCCACTAGGTCCTCAAGGATGTAMTTCCGTCTCGACCTCTCGGCATCAATGCTCAACGGAAGCCTATCAAAACGGGGAGCGGTGACATCGTTCGGCATTTTGTTCATCGGAATCTTCGGTGTTTCGGTGGATTGGATTGATTTGACCATGAAGGATCTGCTGGTTCGTGGTATACCCGATTGTCGTCTTCGTTCGCAATATTGACATGTTGGGGAACTGCACACTTGACCGTCGCAGGGAGGCTTTTCGTGCTCRTCAAAGGGAGCATCTTTTGGGGGAGGAGTTGGCTCAAAAGGGCACGAAATAACAGCCATGGGGGAGCTCTCCGAGTCGTAGCTTTCCTCCTCTGTATCATTATCGCCGTTCCCATAAGCAGGACGAGGCATCGAAGAGAATTTCGATGCTCTGCCTCCTTCGTGTGGTGCGATCGCATGTGTGCTATCAAGCACGAGGTCTTTGTCTTCATCATCGTCATCATCATAGTTTCCAGCAGGAATGGGATATTCGTCTTCAAAGGGGACATGGGCGACACGCTCCTGATGCGCTCCGAGAAATTTAGGGTAGCCTCCGGGTAGACTCTTTTGGCGGCGTCTGAAGATGGCAGTGAGAACAACCACTACGATACACATGAAACATCCAGCAGCCAAGACCGAAAAGATAACAATCATAACGCGATGATTTCGATTGCTGTCTTCGCTGGATTTGCTGTTGCTTTGATCGATGGTGTATTCTTGGTCAACTTCTTCGTTGATACCAACAAGCTCGACACCGATAATTCCGGGCTGACCTTCGAAAATAGGTTTCAAGGCCGATTCGAACGCTTGGGTGATTTGATTTAGGAGATATTCCGAGGTTAGAGAGTCTTTCTCATCACYAAGGGTTTGAACTTGAATTCGAATGCTGCTCGCAAACGGCTGTTCACACGATACCGTGGTTGCTAATAAACCCTCAACGAAATCATCATTGTCATTTTTCGTCGTACGTTCGACAGCGTTCTCTACGCAAAAGCCTGTATGGGAATCAGATGGAGCAAAAAAGTTGTGAAAGAAAGAAAGGTGAGTTCTATAAGGTCAGATACCATTTCCCAATGGTTTTTTTTAAATCAAAAGCTGAAGAGCGAATCTAAAGCAGTGCTACGCACCTGTGTTTGACCAGGGTTCCACCACAACATAGGTAATAATTGGAGTCAACTCGTCTTCCAACCCCCTTTTGTTCCTGTCACTTTCATTCGATTTTTCCGCACAACCCGCAATCTCATACGCCATGGCAATATTCGTCCCATCCAGAAGATTTTCAATTTCTTGAGAAGACGTAATATTGGCACGGTAAGTCACGTTTGTCGAAATAGAAAAGGAGGCATTTCTTGTTTGAGCTTCAATCTCCGGAGATGTGATTGGGTCCTCCAATAAAATGGAGACGCAAATCAGATCTTCCCCATCTGGAACAGGCAGATCCGATTCAGCTTCAATGTGGCTTTCCCCCTCATTTAAAGAATTGTCAACATTCTCAATACTGGTGTCACTATCACTATCACTGTCACTGTCACCGTTGTTGCTGTTGTTGCTATCGTTAGTTTCATCGTTGTTCGTATTGTTGTTGATCTCCATGTCATTCGAGTCACTGCTTGGACTATTGGGAGCGCCTTTTGGAGGGGGAGTCTTTTTGTACTTGTAAGGGTTCGGCCTCTTGTCCTGTTTGGGCACTTTCATAGGCTTGTCATCTTCGAACATCCAAAAGTCTTCTCCAAAAAAAGTTTTTCCACCAATATCTGTAAGACTGAGACTTCTAGAATTGGGCAATTCCAAACTTTTTATTTGCATTAATTTCCGATGCCCTATTCTTATGTTTTTTTTAATATTGTTCAAAGCGTTTCTGCTATTTCCATCGGAGTCATTCGAATAATACCTCTTTTCATCTTTAATTCCGTTGACACCTCGGACACGTTGTTGTCTTCGCGTCTGCGCCGTTGTAGCTGCGTATGATTCGACTGGATTGCTACAGAAAGATAGCAGCAGCATCCATGAAACGAGAGTTGCTTTGAAGGGGAACATTGTGTAGCATCTGCCCTCCCGACCCGTTGTTRTGGAAATCAGTTGATATAAATAATACAGGTATACTCTTATTTCCGTCTTCTCGTATTATTATTGTCGATAATGATACTCCCCTTTCAATTWATTGATCAAGAGATYGTCTCTCGCTCTTTCCTCTTTGCGGTGATAACTGGATTAGGGGGACCTTGGTACTGGAAGACAATAATATTATTTGTGGTCGGTCTYATTCTCAATCCGGAAGCAGTCGTACGTACTGTCCGTRAGTTATCACTAGGAAAATTTGGAAAGGAAGACCGAAGATCCGGTATCGAATACTTCTATGATGTACCGGTATGTGTGACGACTATCTGTGTGGGGACGAATGAAATTCATACCGCGACTAAACTAACCATTAACAATTTTTGGCGCGACAGTTGCCCCGTCTCGATTGAACGGTTGTTTCCCAGTCTTCGACTTCGTCTATGATAGGCCTACATGTATTATGACTTTCTAACGTTGTGTCACCTTTCAGTTGTAAATTCTGAACGGTTGATTTAGGCAAACTCGAGTGAAACAAATGATTCTCTATGACCTCTCTCCAAATCACAATCTACGGTACAGTTTCTACAAAACAACCGTAACTCAAAACGCTTTCTCACAACATGCGTAGTATTAGCCGTTAAAAAATCAAACGCCGGGCGGCACGACTGGATTCAATCAACTCCGACTACTTCTACGGCTCCTGCATACAGCACATGGTATCGTACATACCAGGTACCGTGCGTGCGGCAAACATCACTTCTCGCTTGATTTGCATTGAACCCACATGAATAATTTCGTTCAGTGAGAGTATGGTACGACTGAAAAATACGAGAAGTAGGTCCTAGAAAGACAATGATGATTCATCATGAACGTTTCCAGTAATGATTCGATTACCACAAATAATCCAAGACATTGTGTCGCACTATTGTCCATTCGTGTATAGATATCGCGCTGGACAAGCAAAGTAGCACCGAAGAAGACCACAATAACAGCTTGCTACAGACAGCAACAGAGACGAAACGAAACGAGTCGGAACTCGCACTACCAAACACGACCAAACCAATTTCTTTTGCAACGTCGGCATCACATAATTAGCACAAGTATACGTACAAGTATACTGAAAGTCACATCAAAGACCTATTAGCACAATCCGACCGCCAATAAGTGCAAGTGTGTACGGTGTATTCGGCAATTCCCTACCGTYTTCCATCATGAAGTCTGCCTGCTCCCTAAATTGGTGCGCATCATTTTCGATGCTGTTCTCATCCGCAATGTTGCCATCGATCACGATACTGCTCACAACGATACTATGCACKGTGTATGGTAATGCCGATGCAACTGCCATTCCCATTTCCTTCGCGGGGATAAATTACAACACACGCAAAGGACCAGATTGGGCACCMGATGTAGAACGCTGCAAGACCCGCGGCGAAATCGTTCGCGATCTGACCCTACTTAGCCGAATCACCAACAAGATCCGACTTTTGTCGATCAAGGATTGCCGTCAAGGAGCCTTGGTCCGTTCTGTCCTCGAAGATGACTCATTCAGCGACATGCAGCTGTGGCTGGGATTGTGGGTAGGAAAAGATCCAAATAATTTTGCGGACGAGGTCCAAGCRCTGGAAGAAATGTTTCTGGATATGACGACCATGGCCGGGAACAATTTACTCACCAACAACCAATTRCTTGGTATAAGCGTAGGTAGCGAGGCGATATACCGCGAGGACGTCACTGTACAGGAAGCGATTGCAAACCTGGACACGGTCCGCGACCTCCTTTCAAGCTATGATATTTCAGTCCCCGCAGCCATTGTGGATATTGCCCCGATCTACAGCGCGTCACCCGAATTGCGCCTGGCTTCAGACATGATTGCAACTAACACTTTTCCCTTTTGGGAGGGAACSCCYATAGCCTATGCTGTCGATGAACTCGACAMAGACCTCCAATGGCTCTTACAGCTCCCCGAAAGCTTTGGAAAACCCTTTTTGTTGGGCGAGCACGGATGGCCTTCCGGGGGCTACATTGAAGGCGTCGGGGAGGCCTCCCCCGAAAACCAAAAGCGATACATGGCTGAATCGTTTTGCTATTTGAAACGGCAACAAGATATCAATAACTGGGAATACTACGTTTTCACCGGTATTGACAACGCATGGCGGCAGGTCCAGGATCCAAACAATACTGTTGAAGGGAACTGGGGATTTTTGGATTCAAACCTAAACTTGAAGGATCACTTTGTGGACTTTGAGTTTGAGTGTGGTTCGGGATCGGAGAAAAAGACTTATACCTTTGCAAGCGTGGATTGGAGCGTCCCCCCACTGCCCGATGATAGTAACAGCATTTTCGATAGTGCAAATTCATCTTGCTCGCTGTGGGATACCTGTCAAGAGCTAGCTGGTGATTGTTGCCCCACAGTCAGCGGGGGATATCTCGGATGCTGCAGGGAGGAATTATTTCTGGGCAGAAACACCAACAGTGGCGGCGGCAGCGGTACCGAAAGCGGAACCAAACCTGTTTTGTCAGTACCAGTGACAGCAACACCGACAGCAACACCGACAGCAACACCAACAATCCCACTGACTGATCCCCCCACAACTCTTTCTCCTTCGACGTCGGCACCGTTGCCGCTGCCTACCATAAATCCAACAAATAGTGATGCATCCTCAACTGCCCCTTCCGTGGAAATCGCCCTCTCGCCTCCGATACTTACTGCTAGTCCCACCATAAATAGTGCACCCTCGACTGCCCCGTCGACGGCAGCAACACTTGCCCCTTCGGTCGAGCCGACTCTAAGAACAAATTCTYCCACGATTTTGCCAACTACAGCAGCTCCRTCGCAAGCACAAGTCGTGCCTGTTASCAATGCTCCCTCGGTTGCACCGGAACCCAGCAAAACGGATGGAAATAGCAGCGGAACCAGCGATAAAAGYGAAACAGGAGAAATTTCTTCGACACCCKCCGACCAAGACTCAGCGGTCMCAATAAGCCCGTGGAATGAGAATGGATGGGACAATGAAAATGGTGGCAACRATGTCAACCGTGTTAGCAATAACGAGAACGAGAGYAGTGAAAGCCAAATCAGTGGTACAAACTGCATCAATCCTTTCACTAATTATATCGTCTCTAAGCAACATACAACAACAGGTAGCTTGCAGAYTACCACCGCTTGGCTGYTGTTCCACGGCGCACAGCTCTTTGCCGTATCAGTGATCATTGACCWCATAGGGCTGTACGTTTGAACAAACGAAAAATAGGACAGCATTAAGAAAATAGTATGATTTCTGAATGCCGTAATGATTGAAAGGYGTGTTGTACTTTGYAAGCTCCAACGTACCGTAGACGACAAGGTGTGTACCWCGATCYATGCACTTGTATTCTCTAGCACCATACTAGTAATGTTTCGAATAAGTGCAAAGCCAGTGGAGATCGATCGTGAAAGGTAATGACATGATGGCCATAATATCTATATTGTTCTTGTTATTTTTTTGACTATAGCTTGAACCAGGGGCATTTTTCATACAGTAACATACTTTGAAACTATCGGATTSCGATCCGATTCCATGACCAAAGCCATCGGCAAACTGTTTCTGGCACCACCGGCGGCGCAGAGAGCTCCACCGTCGCCTCCTACTCMAGGTCCGGAAAGCACCCGGGCTTGGGGACGTCGCACGCGACGCATTCCTTGTTCGAGGCGTGGTTCTCGAACCCGCAGCTCGTGCACTTCCAAAGCGAGGAGCGGACRCGGGTCTGGCGCCGCGGGGTCTCCCCGTCCGTGTCCCGGGCCGGCGTCCCGGCTTCRGTGGTCCCCGCCCGGCTCTTCTGGGCGCCGGGATTGCCCCTGCGGCGGCGGGGGGCTCCCTCCCAGTCGGAGTCGTCGCCGTCGGAATCGGAGTCGGACCCGCCCCCCTCGCTGCCGGTGGCGGCCTCGTC